TCTGCAAGACCAACTACAAAGGCTGAAAAAAGAAGTCCTCAAAAAAGGTAACTCTGAGCACCCAACTGCCTTGCTGAGTTATCAGTCAGATGCCCCTTCAGACGCTGCAGTGGACCAAGGGTGTGTGTGAGAGAGTTTGCAATTGTTGGAAGTACCTGGAGGGAAGCAAAGTCATACAACTAGTGCAAAACCTTCCTTCTCTTGGAACGGGTGTGAAACGTGAGTCTGCCGTTGCGTCTTCTGCTGCTAAACATGGCAAAGTAGGTTTGGAGTAACACCCTTGAAAAATAACTTACAGAGCTAACGTGAGTGTTCATGGTTGGTTGCTTGATACTTCGGTTTTCCGAGCAGTGGTTAGGGAAATCATGGGAAAAGCCATGAGGGTCTAAAGTTAAAACACCTGATTGTTCCAAAGTCCACTGAAATATTCTTTCTGGTCTGGCTCATAGTAAGAGTTGGCTGTGAGAAGGGAGAAAAGAGAGAAAGAGTCAAATGGCAGAGTCGGCTTGGTTAGCTATGTGCAAAACAGCAATAGCAATAGCACTTAGACTTATATACCGCTTCGCAGTGCTGTACAACCCTCTCTAAGCGGTTTACAGAATCAGCATATCGCCCCCCAACAATCTGGGTCCTCATTTTACCGACCTCAGAAGGACGGAAGGCTGAGTCAGCCTTGAGCCAGTCAGAATCGAACAGCTAGCAATCGGCAGAGTTAGCCTGCAGTGCTGCATTCTAACCACTGCGCCATCACCAACTACAGGTCTTCCTCAACTTACAAACACAACTGGGGACAGAATTTCCATCGCTGAGCAAGTCAATTGTTAAATGAGTCATGCCCAGTTTTATGACCTTTTTCTTGCTCCGGTTGTTAAACAAATCAATGCAGTTGTTAAGTGAATTGTGCAGTCATTAAGCAACTCCAGCTTCCCCCATTGACTTTGCTTGTCAGAAGCCAGCTGGGAAAGGTTGCAAATGGCAATCACATGACCCCGGGAGGCTGCAATGATCATAAATTCATGCCAGTTGCCATATGCCCAAATTTTGATCACGTGACACGGGGACGCTGCAACAGCCCTCTAAGTGTGAGGTCCGGTTGTAAATGACTTTTTTCAGTGCCGTTGTAACTTTGAAAGACCGCTAAACAAATGGTTGTAAGTCAAGGACTGTATTGTTGAAGGAAGAATGAAGTCATCAGGGACCTCAACCCATTTCAAAATCCGCCTGCTTCTGCAAGGATGGTTTTGAGTGGTTGTAATGGAGATTATGTGGCTCTTAACAAAAAAAAACCTTTCATCCTGACTTAACGATAGCCATGCATTTTTGTTATAAAAACAAGCGGAAAAAAAATTAATCAGCAAACGAATTCTAAAGAAAAACCCACTGATTTCAGTTGAGGTTCTGCAATAACCTCCTGTGCGGATTGCTAAAATGGTGAGGAGAAGCTGTTAGTGTTGGCCTTTTGACACAGATTGGACAACTGAATGTGACAGTTCTATTTATTTCTTAACTAGCTGTACCCGGCCACGCATTGCTGTGGCTCAGTCTGGTAAAAGCGTGTGTTGCTTTTACGTCCAACAGATGGCGCTGTTTTTCAAAAAAAGCATGTTTTTACCTGTCACAGGTGTGACATCTACTGTATATAATATAGGTATATAAAAACACGCGCGTATTCGAATGCAACGTTGTGTCAAAATTTCAAAGCAATCGGTGAAGACCTTTCGGAGATTTAAGATTTTGAACAAACGAACATTTACATTTTTGTTTATATAGATTTTTTTTTAAAAAAGTGGGGGTAATGCTACACCTGGATATTTATATCAGTTGGATGAAAAACACAAGTTGAAAACAGGAAAAGTTCAGCTGGGTTTCCAGTTAAGGCTGATTTTTAACTTTGCTTTTCAAAACAGGTGAATTTCCCAGCTGACATTTGGGACTTCTAGAAACCTGATGGGGTTCCTGGAAATTTATCCGGTATGTGCAAAAAAACCTCTTGCAGGATTCCAGAATGACCGTCTAAATGGGAGTTTCAGAAACCGATGAACCGGTTCTATTTCAATCGCAAAAGTATCATAATTTAACACATGAACAATGAAACGAATGGGATGTTTAAGTAAAAATATGACATAAGAATCTTTTTCTTACACTTTTTTGATACAAGCTATTCAACTATTGTAGAGGACCACAGAGACAGCGTGAAAGAAGGAACATGAGGGCAATTGTATAAATACCAGCATAGCCTTGAGAGAGGTAGGGTGAGAAAGAAACTCAAGACTGCTCTGCCTTGATTCTCTTCAGTTTGAGAGAGAGAGAGACAGACAGACAGACAGACAGACAGACAGACAGAGACAGAGAGAATGAGGAGAAAGTTTGTCAGGCTTTCAAGATCTTGCAACTGTAGAGTTTTGATAGTCTTACTACAGTCTGTTTCCTGATTGTGAAGCGCTGAGAACTAGTTTATTGATACAAAGCTTATCCCATAGTTGTTCAAAAGAAGAAAAACAAAAGCCAAACTTACCTATATGGCAGTTGAACACCCACACACGCTGTAATCCGTACCTGACATTACATATCATAACGTTGTTGGAATAATCAGATTCTGCCACTTCAAAGTTTGGATTAACAATGATCTGGGTAAAGAGACAGGAATTTCAGCATGATCTAATTGGAGATACAATCCCTAATTGGGTGTGTATAAGAATAGTTAGTTTGATCATGCCAACTGAAGCCCTTTCTCTTTTTACCCCTCATACATATAAAGGCGAGGTTTCAATTTCTTTTTAGCACAAACTGATGCAACTTTTGCATTTACTAACGCTAAAACAGCCAAAGACGGTGGTTCCCAACATTTTCTTCACCATGGACCCCCTTTGAATATCTTTTGTGGCCACGGACCCCCAAGACTTAACTCAAGATTTAAATCATAACATTTCTTCAAGCCTTGGCGGACCCCCTTGTGGTGACATCATCACGCCCCCGCTCCAGGGGTCTGCGGACCACAGGTTGAGAACCACTGGCTTAAGAGATCTCCCTTCGGAGTAGTATTTATGTAAGATCAAAGCTATAGATTTAGGCTTGTTCAAATTCTGCTTAGTAATGCCATTAAACTTGTATATCCTTCCATCCCCTCCACTGCAACTGGGTCATCCACAAATACTCCTTAACTTATAACCACAACTGGGCCTAAAATTCCCATTGCTAAGCAAGGCAGTTATTAAGTGGGTCAAGCCTAGTTTGATGAGGGTTTTTTGTGGATTGCTACAGCTGTTAAGCGAATCACACAGTTGTTAAGCGAATCAGACTTCCCTCATTAACTTGTCTGGACTAAATCGAAGAGCTAACATTCTTTCTGAGCTCTTCCAAAGTATCATCAATTCAGATTAGGATAGAACATAATAACGGAGTTGGAAGGGACCTCGGAGGTCTTCTAGTCCAACCCCCTGCTCAGGCAGGAAACCCTACACCATTTCGGACAAATGGTTGCCCAGTCCCTTTTTAAAAACTTCCAGTGTTGGAGCACCCACAACTTCTGGAGGCAAGCAGTTCCATTGGTTAATCGTTCTAACTGCCAGGAGTCAGTTCTAGGTTGCTTCTCTCCTTGTTTGGTTTCCATCCGTTGCTTCTTGTCCTGCCTTCAGGGGCTTTGGAGAATAGCTTGACTCCCTCTTCTTTGGGGCAGCCCCTGAGATATATCACGTAATCTTTTCCCCCCCTCTGGTGTGAATGACAAAGCAGAACACCGGGAGGAATATCGCAGCTCAACCCACTTTGTAATGGCTAAGAAGTACATCAATGTGACCAACACAGAACAGATTCCATTAGTCTGATGATATACTCCCAAGCATATTAAGATAATCAGCTGGCTGGTGAAGGGAGAGGCTGGGTTCCTTATATTCTGCAAAACAAGGACTGTGGTCACCATTCCCTTGCGGAATCGCAGCTTACCCGGAAGATGTAGTCTCCTTGTTTGAGATCTGTAACGTCAATCCACTGGCAATCAATATCATGCCGGTACACATCATAGCATCCAACAGAAATCCCCTGCTCCCCAAAATTTGCACACTCGTACTGCTTCTGGACACCTAAGAAGGAAGTCAGTACAAAGGTAGCATCAAGATTTTGGAAGGCCTGATTTGTGTTTTAACTAAACAGCGATAAGAGACGTGAGCTATGGATATGCTTCAGATGAGCTCACCAAGAGGAACGTGGGCACCCATTTCTGTGCAAAGACCGATGACCGCCATTTTTACAAGTTATGGGAATTTGCCTGTCGTGTCTTTTTTTTTTCTTTCTTCTGAAGGGCGAAGAAGATCATGTAATTCGCCCAAAGGTGCTTCTTCCCAAAGGCAACTGGACTTCCTTGGTTTTTGAAGAAAGAACTGAAGAAGCTTCTTGGATGAGAAGAGAACATTTTCAAAGGAAAAAACAAACAAACCAAGAAAGTTCAGTGGCTTTTTGGAAAAAGACGTTGGGACAACCATGAGCTGGATGATTAAGAATCTCCATAGATATCATGTAATTAAATTCCCAGTTCAACGGCATCTCCCAAAAGAGGGTACGCAATGGCAGTTGACTTGGGGTGCAATCTTTGGCAGAAGGAAGTGGAGGCTCGTGGGGCGAAGCCTCAGATGTTGCTCATTTCAATAGAGGTACACTAAATCAGACTGGCCACCGTTCTGATTTAACATAGAGCAGTTTCCTACATCCACAGGACTGGTTGCCTAGAGCTAGTATTTTCTTCATTCTGAAGGGGAAAGGTATCATCTTTAAAGGCTTATTCCAAGGAATGTCCTGGATCCTGAAAGCATTCTTCAACCGGATTGCTGGATAAGTTGAACAATGGACGGTGGAAAGCTGATTTTCCATTTGATTTTAATGGTATCAAACAGCTCACAGTCTCGCCGTGGAGACTCAGCCTTCGACATATGTTAAGTGCAGTGGTTCTCAACCTTTTTAATGCCGCGACCCCAACCGGTTGTAAGTCAAGGACTAAATCGGTCGTAAGTCGAGGACTAAACCGGTCGTAAGTCGAGGACTACCCAACCGGTCGTAAGTTGAGGACTTTCCCTGCCCGGGAGCGCTGCGCATGCGTGGTTCCGCCCCCTGCGCCGGCTGAGGCGTAGCTGGCAAGCGGCAGAGACGGAGCAGGCCGACCACCAGCTGGCCCAGCTCAAGGGAGGTAAGGCACCCGCCGGAAAAGGGGAAAAAAAATGGTGGACAAAAAAATGGCGGACAGCCTTGCTTGGCGACCCCCGTGAAATGGTCGATCGACCCCAAATGGGGTCCCGACCCACAGGTTGAGAACCACTGGTTAAGTGGGAAAACAGCCGTGGATTAAGGAGAGCTAGTTCGAAGTATCAGCAGTCACCGACATATTAGCAATGCATCGAAATAACATTAGGAACACATGTACCGTCTAGGCAGTCACTGTCCTCCAGGCAAAAGCTGGCTTTGTGGCCTTCAGCAACTTGAGTCCAGTTGCTATCCAGAAGATCATAGTGGGCAAAGACTTCCATGCTGTGGTAATGCCTGTGGAAGCCAGAAAGAGAGCACATTTCTGAAGGCTGTCAAATGAAGATTTGATGTAAACTCAGCACTGATTATGTAACCTAGTTGGGTAATGAAACGTCTGCAAGAAAACCATCAAGCTCAGAGAGTGCCAAAGACTCCACAATTCAGCCCTGAGCTACAATTATTCTCTTCTATGGATAAACTCAGCTCTCTGTGATTTAGTAGGAAATCATAGTTAAGGCTGGTGAATGCGGCCATTTTCTTTCTATAATCAAAGCCAGAATGGCAGTTTATCATGACTGTGGTATCTACCCTATCACATATGTATACATGGAATACCTTTTTCACTAACATACTATATTAGCCAACCTGGAAGCCCAGCCTAGCCACTGCTTGTCCAAATTTACTATTGGTTAACTATAAATGCTTTTCATTTGGATGAAAACATCTCCTAAATGTCACTATTTATTTACTGGATGAATTCCGGCTTGGTGACATTAGTCTAGAAGAAGGAAATAAATACCATATGGAATGCATTTGGGGAGGAATCTTGTTATTAGCAATAATACAATTGAATTCATGTGACATGATAGTCTCAAGTCCATTCCTGTCATTAAAAAATTCCTTAGGGGATTCTGAGTCTTTGCCGTGATGGGGAAAGATGATATAGAGATTGGGTCGAGAATATATAGAAGATAACAGCTCTTTAAAAAGAGGAGACGTAGGTCTTTTAAATTAAGGCTCAGTGGAATTGATCAAAGCCAATAAATCAAGTCTCAGTTTCCACAAAGGCTAGTGCCTGCTAAAGTTGCAATTGTCCTGCTCAGAAATGAATTTACTTTTCTTGAAGCTCAGTTCGTAATTTGGAATAAACTTAATCCAGCAGTGCTGCACAATATCCTTGATCAAACTAAACAATGAGCTCACCTCCACGGAGGTAATTCAGCTGCAGGTACAACACTTACGTGGTGGGAGGCCTCATTCAAAGCTTTAGTTAAGCTTTAAAAGTTTAAATAGCTCCAGGGAAGATGATTTGAAGAGCCATCTGCTCCCATTTATCCTGCCTGGCCTTCTTTTCATCAACATACCCCCATCCTGAGTTAGATTTAGCAGATGGTTATAAAGACACGGCATCTTTTAGCAGAGATGTTCATTGCAACCGGTTTCGTACGCTTTTTGTTTTATGTTGTTTTCCAAACCTTTTAGGGCATCACTGCTATTTGTATGACTTCTATTATAATGTATTTATATTTCTGCTGTGTTTATATATTTCTGCTCTATTTCTGCTGTGTGTATTGCACATTATGATTATGGGTCAAAGACCAAATCTGTAATGTGTGCCCCATTTCATTATGGTGGAATGGCACAGAAACATTTAAGTAAAGAAATCAATACTTTCTACCGATTGGTGCTAAGATAACTGAGTCTGAATCAACTTCCTTGGATTGATTGGGATTACAAACATTCTTTAAATAAATCTGTCAGAAACCAATGACGCAAAGAAGAAGAAGAAATCATTTTAACTTGGCAGGACGCGCCGGACTGAAATCCCACAAGATTTTGGTGTTCTTTCCTGAAACCTCTCCAACTTACAACCATGTTCCAGAAATCTTCCTGGAAGAAAAATTTCCCTCTCATCTGATAACCTGAATGTCAAAATAGAACATCAACTGAATATGGGGCTCTGGGACTGAGCTATGGTTCCTTCCCCAAAACAAAAGTGTTGTGTGAATATGGAGATTCTCAATCATCCAGGTCAATGTTTCTCAACCTTGACAATTTTAAGGCATGTGGACTTCAACTCCCAGAATTCCACAGCCAGCATTGCTGTCTGTGGAATTCTGGGAGTTGAAGTCCACATGCCTTAAAATTGTCAAGGTTGAGAAACACTGATCCAGGTCATGGTGGTCCCAAAGGCAACTAGACTTTCTCAAAAGGCAACTGGACTTTCTTTGATTTTTCCTTGACCCCGGGGGCACAGATAAACCTCCATCTGGCCTCAACAACTCTCAGAAAGAATGCTAATGACCAGATGACTGCAAGGAATATAAATCTTTCCATTCTCCACCATTCAGTCAGAAGCTTCTTGGATGAGGAGCAAAACATCTTCAACTATTTGACCCTATTTGATCAACATGGAGTTTATGCTTACAAGGATGAAATTATAAGCATTATGTACATTGTAATAAGCTTTTTGCCAAATGGTGAAAGAGATTCTAGCACCTTGCAAGAGGTTTTAGTTTTTAATTTGTGCAACACCCCTGATGAATGCCGACTGACGGTGAATGGCACACTTGCTTGCGCAAAAACCAAGTGTAAAATCAGATCCAGAATGTAAGTGTATCCTGGCTATAAGCTGTGGGAAACTAAAGAACTGCAAGGTAGAGTTAGTTAATTCCTTTGCAATTCCTGAGAAAATGAACCACAGAGGACATTAAACACCTGGAATTCAGTATCAGGTAGATGATACATTGATCTGTTTATTCTACGTGCGTGTGGGGGAAAGCAGTTTTTTTTAAAGGAAAACTTTTTTTAAACTGACTCAGAGTTACTATATTTTTTTTTCTTTTGCCACAAATACTTTGATTTCTCTTTTTACCTGCCTTTAAGTGGAACCCTGCTACCCACCCCATTCCGGATCATGAATAGAATTCCATAGTCGGCAGATGGAAAACACGGAGCGCTGTTAAAGGCGTCCAAACTATTTACTTTGAAGTTGGATGCTTGAGCGATTTCCAATGTGAAAAAGCCAAACATTAATGCAAACTGTAGGACTGTGTTCCTAAAATATGCCTGCCTGCTCAGAAAGGTGTTTATCTTACACTGTTTATAGACCAGAAATACTGTAAAGGAATTGAGCAGACCTTCCTGTCTATAAACAAACTGGTTTCAACCAACTGATTAGTTATAGCTGCCTCACTTAATTTGAACTTTTCAGAAAGTCCAGAAAGGAAATGAGTGTTAATAGGGAAGGCCATTGTGAGGTTAAGAAGAAAGAGGCCACATCAAGAGGGTGACCAGCCATGTTTGTTGGTCCGAGAAGCTTGACCAACTGGTCCTCTAAACCTGTCTGAGATGCTCTTAGGCTTTCAGGCTCAGTGATTCAAAATAGGTTCAGTGGTTTTGGAAAAGATCTGCCAATTCAGAATCAAGAGAGGGAAATGGACCCCAAATCTTGAGTTCATCAAAAAGGGCTGCCTAGATTCATACAGAACTGGCAGGATTCCCTCCCTGTGCTACGGCATAACACAATTTGCTTAGGGTGGTGTTTTAATCCAGGACTCCCCAAACTTGGCAACTTTAAAGACTTGTGGACTTCAGCTCCCAGAATTCCCCAGCCAGCCATGTTTAAACTATGGCTTTGAGTGAGGTGTGAGCAGGTCAGGAATGTGCTCCTGTGCTTGTTGAGTTTGACTTTAAACCAGTGGCCAAGGCCACCAGCATTTTAACTCGCGCTAAGAACCCTGTTTCTCGCGGGTCCATGTGATGACCCTCCATGAGTTGTGCCCTTCCTAGTCTACAAAAGTGAAGATAGAAAGAAAGACTTGCCTGTGGCATTCGTGCCAGATCCAAGCGTGGCGGCCCGTTTTGGGACGGAAGTCAGCCTGCCCATTGTTATGGATCTGGGAGGAGAAACGGAAGAGTCTCCTTTGACCACTGGACACAGAGGTATTGACCGCAGAGGAGGCCAGGCAATTCTCCTCCATGGCGCACTGCAGCACATGCATGGGGCGATCCTCCAGATAGGATGTGTGTTCCACCTCCTTGGCATTGAGAACGAGATCCGCCGCAGCTGCAGACATCAATTGACAGTAAGGATTTTGCTTTTATCCTCTTGAGTGTTTTGCTCACTACGTCACAATAATTGGGTATGTCTAGTTTAATGAAGAGAAGGACAAGGGGGGACATGATAGCAGTATTCCAACATCTCAGGGGCTGCCCCAAAGAAGAGGGAGTCAAGCTATTTTCCAAAGCATCTGTAGGCAGGACAAGAAGCAACGGATAGAAACTAATCCAGGAGAGAAGCAACCTAGAACTAAGGAGAAACTTCCTGACAGTTAGAACAATTAACCAGTGGAACAACCTGCCTCCAGAAGCGGTGAATGCTCCAACACTGGAAGTTTTTAAGAAGAGACTGGACAGCCATTTGTCCGAAATGGTATAGGGTTTCCTGCCTGAGCAGGGGGTTGGACTAGATGACCTCCAAGGTCCTTTCCAACTTTATTATTATTATTATTATTATTATTATTATTATTATTATTATTATTATTATTATTATTATTATTATTATTATTATTATTATTATTATTATTATTATTATTATTATTATTATTACCAAAGGTCACAGGGAAGGAAGTCAGGTTAGCATTCACCCTGGTTTAACCCAATACAATACTCAAAACACGGACACACGCTTGACTGTGATTCAGATAAACCGTGGTCTAGATTTTGAGCAAAGGAAGCTGAAGAGCTTACTTTCTGTACAGGAAACACCAGCTGCATAGCGTCCACCTCCCTTGGGACAGGAGACCTTGGCATCATGAGGACAGTGGAACAAAGCCATTTCTATCCCAGAGCACTTCATCCCACTCATGACCACATTGTCTGCACCAGTGTCCCCATACCAGTACCAGGTTTCCTAGTAAGAAATACCAAAAAAAAAAAAAAAAAAGGAAGGTGATTAAGCATAGATGCATTGTAGTCTGTTTTAAACCACCTTTCCCACTTCAGTAAGCTCCGGAATCACTGGATTTTAGTTTTGTTTTGTCCAGCCTGGGGGCCTAATGACCAGCTCATTGCCTAACAGTCCCATTATTTTTTTCAGTATCCATGTCAGATAGCTTAGGACAGTGGTGGCGAACCTATGGCACGCGTGCCAGAGGCGGCACTCAGAGCCCTCTCTGTTGGCACGTGTGCCAACGCCGCCAGCAGTAGGTCCATCAGGCTGCCCCCGGAGCAGGAGCCCCGCCCAGCACAAAGGAGGTGAAGCGGCCGACTAGCAAGCTCGAGTAGGGGTGGTAGAGCAGAAGTCACCAACCATTGTCAATTGGTGGACTGGAAGAAAAGGGAGGGGGAAGCATTTTACATGTGTGCATGCGCGCATGGGGCCGCGAGCACGCACGTGCTGCAAATGGGGCAGGGCTAGTGTCTGCATGATACCCACTAGCCCTGCCCCGTTCTTGCGTGGTGCAGCGCCTTGCATCTGCACCGCGTGGCGTGGCGGCGACCGTTTTTGCGCCTTGCAGTGCGGTGGCCCATTTTTTTGCCACCACTTTTTGCATGTCAGAGATGGCACTCAGAGGTGCCTCCCTGCCCTCCCCCCCCAGGGCACCACAACGCTGATGCGGTCCTGGCACTTTGCGATAAATAAGTGGGTTTTGGGTTGTGGTTTGGGCACCTCTAAAAGGTTCGCCATCACTGGCTTAGGAGAATTCCTGATTTAAAGGCCAGGGTTCTAATTCAAATTCAATTTTAATTCTAATTCAGGTTTTCTGTATACTTTGGAGCAGGCAATTCCTTGCTTCCTTCCTTTATTGATGTGTAGTCTTTCCTGATGGGCAAGGTCCAAAAGGACATGAAGTAATCATAAGTAAAACAAACGCAAGCAAAGCAAAGCACCCTACGAGATGTAGTAAAACAAAGGAAATGGAAGCCAATGCTCTCGCACGGTTGAGTTTGTCCATACAACGCTCTAAAGTCAAAGCTAAGCCTCAAACTTTGCAATAGCAATAATGATGGAAGCAGAACTTGGCAATGTTCCTGGAAATCGTCAATGGAAGGTCTAAAAGCATTAACATGAACAATTTCTAGGTTCTGGCCAAACAACACAGCCAGTAAGAAGTGGATATATGAAGGCTGCACGCCAATAATCATAAAGAGGGAGCAGCGTAAAAATGTGAGCAACTGACTCAGTAGCACATTCTGAACAAATATCACAGCACTCACAATATGGACTATTGTCAAAACCTTCCCTCCAGCTGGCAGTTGTTTGTCATCAGCAAGCTATCCTAGCAATTGCAATGGTCGACTGACAAATGGATAAAAAAGTTCAGGAGATGATTTTGTAAACAGTCACCTGCAAACTGCTCCATTATCAGGGGGAGAGAATTGCTTCCTTGTCAGTTGGAAAGAAGCCCGTGAGATAGAAGCACGGAAAATCCCTGCCCTAATCCGTTGGGGAATACATCTAAACCGGGAATAGCGTAGTTGCTGACGTCCATGCAACTTTATCCCTTTCATTTCAATAAATCTTGTTAAAGAAGACTCGAAGGATTGGCTGAGTCAGAGCCTAACAATAACGGAGAAGCAAACCAGAATGTCTTTTGACCAAGATAGACTCTGCTTCTTGTATTTTACAGGAAAAAGTTGATGTTCAGAAGGCCTGGCTGAGGAATTCTGGGAGTTGAAGTCATTTCAAGTCATAAAAGGGCCAAGTTTGAAGACCCCTGTGTTAACACTTCACTATAATCAGATGTATAACGATCAGGCAAGAAAAAACAGCAAATGAGTAATGACCGTCCAGTGTTCAGAATCTCTTCTTCATATTCCACCTAAGGAAAATGCTGACAGGACGTTCCTTGTATCAGTCACAACACACTGGCAGAACCTCATTAAAAATGGCTCCTTGGCATGCAAACCTCCACCGGTTAAGTCTGCTCCACATACACAGAGGGGCTGTATGCTCCATGGGGGGGGGCAGCCTGGAGCAAACACAAGGACCTCTGTTCCCAAAACGAGTAGATCCAGGGCAAGGAAATGCCTTCTACCATCAAACAGCATAAGGGCTGCTAAATGTCAACAAAGCAGAGAGATTGGAAATGGGGGCATTGGGTGGCCATAGTAGTCCTCACCTCCTGAACCGAAAATTGGCTGCTGTACAAGAAAATAAATAGACCTCTTGTGTGCTGGCCCAACCTATTTCCTGGGGAAAGGCTGAAGGAGGAGATGAAATGAGTTGCAACAAGTCACAGGTGGAGCATTGAGATCCTCATGAAAAAACATTTTCTTCAGAGAGCCATTTTCCTATGAAACTGATGCGCTCTCTCTTTCCTGCCACCAATTTATTCATCACTCACTCAGCCAGCCAGCCAGCATGGCTGGCTGGGGAATTCTGGGAATTGAAGTCCACAGGTCTTAAAGTTGCCAAGGTTGGGGACCCCTGGCCTAGGAGATGAATAATATCAGGAAGGAACCCTTTGATCTGACACAGTATGATTTTTTAAAACGTATCCATAAAAACATGGTGAATTGGAGCCTTCGTACAGCCGAGGACTAATGATCAAAGTAGACTGTCATCCTCATTCTTTGTTGGAAGTATCTCCGTGACCACTAATCAAAACATGGGACCGGATGGACTTTTGATCTGGTGCCCCGAAGCCATCCTTGTGCTTATGTGCTACAGTGCTCCAAAAATAAAGATTGGAACATTAAGTGGAGCCTCAAATTATACTCAGCTTCTACAAAAGAAACAGTGTCATTTAGTATCTACAGTAATTCATCCCATTTCTATCACAATTCATCTTCTTCATGTTACTGATCTTTGACTAGTAAATGTAGCTCTTGGTTATTCTGGGCTGTAAAAAGATCTTTCTTGGATAGCTTCAAATTGCACCCCAGTTTCATGTGAAGCAAAAGAAGGCCAGCCATGATTTTTTTTCCCAGCCTTCCTTCATATCTTAAAGGAGGCAGGAAAGGAAGAAAGGAAGTAGAATGCACCGAAATATGGGGATATCGAGAAAGAAGGCTAACGCAGAGGGAAGCAGAAGGACAGACGCAGAAAAAAGTCCTATGTGATGCAAAAAACCTCCAAGGAATTTGTATATTGTAAATTGGGATTCAGTAAATCCTGGCCTGAACACTCAAAGAACAGAGGGATAGAATCAAGATCACGTGAAGTATTAATACCACTTTACAATGCCTTGGTAAGGCCACACTTGGAATGCTGCATCCAGTTTTGGTCATCGCGATGTAAGAAAGATGTTGAGACTCTGGAAAGAGTACAGAGAAGAGCAACAAAGATGATTAGGGGACTGGAGGCTAAAACATATAAGGAACGGTTGCTGGAATTGGGTATGTCTAGTTTAATGAAGAGAAGGACGAGGGGGGACATGATAGCAGTGTTCCAATATCTCAGGGGCTGCCCCAAAGAAGAGGGAGTCAAGCTATTCTCCAAGGCGTCTGAAGGCAGGACAAGAAGCAACGGATGGAAACTAATCAAGGAGAGAAGCAACCTAGAACTAAGGAGAAACTTCCTGACAGTTAGAACAATTAACCAGCGGAACAACCTGCCTCCAGAAGCGGTGAATGCTCCAACACTGGAAGTCTTTAAGAAGAAACTGGACAGCCATTTGTCCAAAATGGCGTAGGGTTACCTGCCTGAGCAGGGGGTTGGATTTGATGACCTCCAAGGTCCTTTCCAACATCATCATCATCATCATCATCATCATCATCATCATCATCATCATCATCATCATCATCATCATCATCATCATTATTATTATTATTATTATTATTATTATTATTATTATTATTATTATGTCTTTAAATAAGATCTTCTGAATTCTGAAGAGCCATGAATAACACTGAGCGTTTGTTTGCACTTGTGGAATGAAAACAATGCTGTACCTGGAATGCATGGCTAGCATAGCCAAGGTTCAGCTGGCGACAAACCACCATGGCGTCCATTATATCCCATCCTTCACCACAGATGGACCCCCATATGAGCGTGCCATTGTGCTCCTGGAGAACTTCCACACGGCCTTCGTAGTGAGTGCGGCCGCCACTCAAGCGTACCTGCGGAGGATAATGGACAGTTATGAAAGTTAGGGGGATTATCAGACGCCAATGAAAGAGACAGAAAGTTGCATTTTCTGCTCGTAGATGAGAGAGAGAGAGAACTAGGCTGGGGAAACGAGTCATGCAACAAAAAGGACAACGCTTGGCAAGTCAGCTTACCGAAATTATCGGGCCGGCTTTTGAGTGTGGGTTGCCTCCAGTTGAGTTGGAAATAACTTAGATGGTTTAAACTCTGCTCATTTTAAAAACTGCATTGCAGAAAAAAGAATCATATTTACATAGCCCACGCTACCTGCATATTTTGAGTTGCTGCCCAACAATATCCTCCATCAGCATGATCAAGATGATATCATGAGCCAAGGACAAAAATTATTCATAATTCATTTTTTATTTTGAAATAGGTAGGTAGGTAGGTAGGTAGGTAGATGATAGATAGATAGATAGATAGATAGATAGATAGATAGATAGATAGATAGATAGATAGATAGATAGATAGATAGATAGATAGATAGATAGATTGCTGCTGTTTGCTATGAAAAAGATCAAGACAACCCAAAAACTAAACCAAATTTCTTCCATCCTTTGAAAGAGATACTGTGTGATTGATTTCATCCTGTGTGAGATTCATCAGATGTGGGTAGCCAGATGTTAATAGGGAATTGAATTCACAGACCTTTGTACGTTAGATAACTTTCCTTTCAGATAGATAGATAGATAGATAGATAGATAGATAGATAGATAGATAGATAGATAGATAGATAGATAGATAGATAGATGATAGATAGATAGATAGATAGATAGATAGATAGATAGATAGATAGATAGATAGATAGATAGATAGATAGTCTGTCTCAAAGTCACACGCCTAAAGCGGAACTAGAACTCACAGCCTCCTCGTTTCTAGGACGGCACTTCAACCACTACACCAAACTGGTTACACCAAATTGGCTCAGAGGTCTCTGAATAATAATAACTGTAGTCTATCGATGATACTTGGTGTAATATATGGTATCTGGTACTGGTACCTGAGTACCTGGTACTCATGAAATATTTTCAGATTACTACTCCCAAAATTCCTGGCAAGGTCTTGGCTAGACTAAATCCTAGTAGAAAAACTCTAGCCTTCTACTCCTAAGTCCATTAAGATGATCTTAAATAATCCATAACCCACCATAACACCAGCCTATCTCCTCTTATTCTTGGAAGTCCAGAACTTCAACATAATTTTTACATATAGGCTATCCAACTTGATATAGATATATCCTACATCCTACATAGGTTATATCAGGCTATGCTTGATTTGATTGTACACAGGTTTTCCCAGGAACCTCTGAAGATCATATTAATGAAGGATACTTGTGTAGTATTGAGACATGAACAATTTTACTTGGGGGAATAGGAACTCATTTTTGTTTTCTACCAGTTCTTGACAACAATGTACTATGTTTATTCATAGAGTAGAAGAGTTCTACTCTAATCTGAATTATAATTCACAGTGTCTCTAAGCTACCAGGATATGAAGTGAACTGTAGTCCATCAAGAAGGCATCAAGTTGGCAAAAGCATCTCTTGGGGTTGAGGGTCTCAAAACCGAGGTTGCATGGCCTCTAACCCTGACATTAAGTAACACTTGAGCATAAATCCAAACTGATATTTAAGATGGAGCAATTGTTTTAAAGGAAGTATTAGGAAGACGCTTGGTTAAAAACTGTGAAGCAAATTATTTGGAGAAAGGCTAGGATGTTTCTCAAATTATATTGAGCCCATGGATTTTAAAAGAACACAGATGTTAAACTGAATGGAACATGTGGAGTTTGGCCAAATCCTGGGATGTAAATCTTACGAATTCACTGAACTGCCTGCCAGCGGGGACTTCGAGCCAGCAGTCTGAAGATGACCTCAATTTGGAGGGTTGAGGAAAAGCTCCTCCTGTTCAAAACCCAAAATTCAGTAAACATTTTAAGAAGTATTCAAAACTCTGATTCATATGACCCTTTTCAGGTCACGGCAGCTATTTGAGGAGCCTGCTTGTGTTTTTGGTCCTCTAACATCTGTTTGTGTGTGCTGCACTATATACGGTTTTAGCTCTGTTTGCCCAGGGGTTTAAAAATATGACAATGTGCTCATAGTTGAGTTTGACCCCATGGCTGAGTAGCTGACATCACAAGCAGCGATCAGGCTACCAAGACATAAAAACAAGTTGCATCAAACGAACTGAGCTCCTTTGCTCTGTCTGATGGCAAGACTGGTCCTCAAGAAGACCACCACTTCTACTCTCACTGCTACTATAGCAACGGATTCTCCTCCTTATCTCAACCCTCCGGCTCATGGTTGTCCCAAAAGTGCCTTTTCCAAAAGGCAATTGCACATTCTTGGTTTTTTTTTTCTTTGAAAATATTCTGCTTCTCATCCAACCAGCTTCTTTGGTTCTGAACTGAAGTTCTTCTCGGAACCGAAGAGCTTCTTGGAGGAAAAGCAAAATGTTTTCAAAGAAAAAAATCAAGAAAGTCCAGTTGCCTTTTGGAAAAAGCACCTTTGGGTCAACTCTCCTCATTATGTTCTTGCACTAACAACAATGTGAGGTGGGTTGGTATAGAGTAGAGTAGAGTAGAGTAGAGTAGAGTAGAGTAGAGTAGAGTAGAGTAGAGTAGAGTAGAGTAGAGTAGAGTAGAGTAGAGTAGAGTAGAGTAGAGCTTGAAGGGATCTTGGAGGTCTTCTAGTCCAGCCCCCTGCTCAAACAGGACAACCTATACCATTTCAGACAAGTGACCGTCTACTCTCTTCTTAAAAACCTCCAGTGATGAGACTGTGGCTGGAACAAAGTAAACCAATAATTTCCAAAGCAGTATCTTTGTTGGTGGTCTCTTGATCTGGAGGTCAAGGGGGGAAAAAAAGTAAGAAATGATGTTTCCATGCTCCAGCTCTTAAGATAAAGCATATAGTGCATTCTACAGAAGGAGGAGGAGGAGGAGGGGGAGGAGGAAGAAGGAGAAGGAGAAAAGAAGAAGAAAAGGAGAAGAAGAAGAACCATTCTCCCATTGTGGAAGGTGCCAATTATCTCACCTGGTTTTGGAAGCCCATTGCTGGGATGTTGCATCTCACACCAGCATCTTCTTCATGGGTGCAGCTCCTGATCTCCTTGCTGAACTTACAGTCCGTAATAGACTTTTCAAACCCTGTGCAGTCCACTTCGTTGAGATGGATGGGACCAATGCCTTCAAAAAGGGAGGGACGCTCACAAGCTCATTTCCCCACAATAAGAGGGAAGTATACTGCATATTTGACATGTTCTGATGGAAACTATCCCAATTTGGTGACTACAGTAGTTAAAGTCAACATAAATTCAGTTACTCAGTTAGGAAATGTGTAGATCTTACAATCCCCCGCCCCTTTCAGAGAATAAAATAGATGACTTCATGAAATGTGATACGCCAATGTTTGTTGTTGTTTCCTCCTGCTTTTTCATTCTACTTAATAGAACTTTCTCTCCTAGAGACCTGTCCTAAGAGCATCACTGCTTCTGGAGAAAATCAGATCAGGAAAGTGCATTAAAGAATTCATCGATTGTCTATGGAGATTCTCAATTCTGCTGAAGAAGCTTCTTGGATGAGAAGGTAAATGTTTTCAAAAACCAAGAAAGTCCAGTTGCCTTTTGAAAAAAAAGCGCCTCTGGAACTATTCCTAGCCTGGACATCTCAACTCCACAGATTCCCCCAAATCCAGACAAAGGTCCAGGAGACTTCTGAGTTAAAAAATATCCAGGGCTTTAATAAAGCCTTTCTGCAGTTAATTTTGTTTTTATTCTATGAGATACTTTCCAGTATTTTTCTTCCTTTCTTTCATTAGTTAGAAACAGAACAAAGGCCAAATTTCCATTTCTCCATCATTTCTTAAATTTCATTTGGAGAATTGGGAGCAAAATATGCCACTGGCATTTCTGACCATTTTTGCCCATAACTCTAAACATTTCAATAGGGATAAAGATAATTCTTTTGCAGAACAACAGAAAGACAAAAAAAATCTCAAATAAACACGGGCCGTTGGAAGAATTCTAACGTTATTTTTACTTTCGTAAGAAAACAGAGGGTTATAAAAGGATTTCCAAGAAATCTTTGAACTTAAATGGACACCATGACACTACAAAATAACAAAAAATGTTGCGTCCTGTAGAAGGGCTTATGCTTCCCCTTTGTAATGCAACCCCATTGAAGCGAGCTCTGAAAATCTACTTTTTATGCCACGACCTCTGATGGGATGTCAGTCTAGGAGAGATGGTATTGTTTTTCCACACATTTGTTTTGAATTATTTTGCATTATAGTCTTTTAAATTGTTTCATGCTGAGCACCACACAAAGTTGGGAGACATCTAGACAGCCTATAATTACATAAATAAATACATAGATAAATGTTCATCCCTTTTCTCTAGTAAGTATCTGATATTATGCATGTTTATTAAGTACTCTCAATAAGCTCAAAAGATAGAACTGGATTCTTGGGGCGGGGCATGAGATACACAGTCTGTCTTTTATACCCTACTTTTCTATAGCAGCATATATTCAAGGCAGAAGAAACTAAAGCCAAAAATCAAACACAGGATCTAAAAACTAAAGTAGATTAAAATCATTAGGTCCTAAAATATCAGGATTGAAGAATCAGGACTGCATGCAGTGGTGGGATTCAAATAGGTGAACAACCGGTTCTCTGTGTGGATGCCGCTTCCGGAAGTCCATTCTGGGCCTGGGCAACAAAAAATTAGGTACTGCTTCTGCCGAAGTGGTGCGAACTGGCTGAATCCCACCACTGACTGTGTGTTAAGTTCCAGGTACGCTGATTTATTGCTCATACTTATACGCAAGAATCTAGTCAACTGATGGTCAACACTAAATTGGTGGAATTCAAGAGGGGCTGGAGTTGGATAGCTTGTGGCAACATAATGACTCCTGGCTGATTCCTCTCTTGACTCCACCTCAAGTTCTGCCTCTCCTTCTCCTACGTCAAATCATTTAACTATTGCAAGACTAGCAAAATAGCTTTGTCTTTACAGATTTTCTACACACTGAGAGTATGTCATAGTAGTATCCTACCTTATTCTTCTTATTATTGAAGGTTAATACTGTAAAACAGTTGTGGGCCCATTCGTGCTGTTCTATATGCTTGAATAGACTAGTATCTAATTAAACTGAAAGACCTTTCGTGGTTTCCCCAAATTTCAAGAACAAAGTTTAGATGGAAAAAAGTTAGTTTTGTTGCTGTTCTCATAATTTTTTTTTTTCTAAAGCAGATAGAAAAATAAAATGCAAATGTATTTTGCTAGAGGTGGTACCTTCTGCTTTAATCACTTTTTAACAGAGTTGGAAGGGACCCTGGAGGTCTTCTAGTCCAACCCCCTGCTCAAGCAAGAGACCTTATACCATTTTAGACCAATGGCTGTCCAATCCCTTCTTTAAAACCTCCAATGTTGGACCACCCACAACTTCTGAAGGCGAGCCGTTCCACTGCTTAATTGTTCTCACTTTCAGGAAATTTCTCCTTAGTTCTAGGTCAATTCTCTCCTTGCTTAGTTTTCATCCGTTGCTTCTTGTCCTGCCTTCAGGCGCTTTGGAGAATGGCTTGACTCCCTCTTCTTTGGGGCAGCCCCTGAGATATTGGAATACTGCTATCATGCCACACCTTACCCTTCTCTTCACTAGACTAAACAAACTCAGTTCCTGCAACTGTTCTTCAAATGCTTGAACCTCCAGTCCCTTAATCGTCTTTATTAATACACTTCCAAGAAACGCTAGTTATTTTTCCTAATAATCGCCAATTTTCAGTAAAGGAAACACAACACCGGAGTAGTCTTTCAAAATGTCTAGCTTCTGCTTGTGCAATGTGCCAACCTGCTCCAGCCCCATCACGTTGCAAGGAGGGTTTCTTTCATGTGATGCTAGCACTTCCGTAGCGGTAACCACAATTCAATATATATTAGAGCCCTCTGTGCGCCGTTTGGCTGTAAGCTCACATTTTTAAGATTCCAGAGAACTGCAGTGTGTCTCATACGTAGATTATTTTCCTCTTCTTTTCCCCAAACCACACCATTTTGGAGTTACTTCACTGCTTATTTAGATTCCTTGCTTCTTTTGTGCCATGAACATTGCTTTGATGCTACCATGGCAGGTTTTTTTCCCCCCAGCATTCACCCGGGGTGAATTCTATATGTTTAATGTTAAATTTATTTGATACTTGGGTTATTTCCCCCCTTTTTTTTGAACACCAATCTTTTTTCTTTTTTGTTGTTATTAGCGCTGGATGTAATTTGTGTGTGTGTGTGTTTCTGTTTTGTATTTTAGTCTTGTTGATAAAACAAAGTAAATATATTTTAAAAAAGAAACTTAAACTTTATAGAATATTACCTCCCTCGTTTGAGATGCCATTCTTAGTTATATCAGCTTTCCGAAGAGTTAGATTGTTTTGCCTATCAAGTAATCCCTTCCTGAACTGGAAGATGTTAATGATCGGATTATGGGATGGGGTCAGCTCTTGGCCTCTCCATCTTCATTACCCCTTCATCCTTTAAGGAACGGTTGCTGGAATTGGGTATGTCTAGTTTAACGAAGAGAAGGACGAGGGGGGACATGATAGCAGTCTTCCAGTATCTCAGGGGCTGTCCCAAAGAAGAGGGGGTCAAGCTGTTCCCCAAAGCGCCTGAAGGCAGGACAAGAAGCAACAGATAGAAACTAATCAAGGAGAGAAGCAACCTAGAACTAAGGAGAAACTTCCTGACAGTTAGAACAATTAACCAGTGGAACAACCTGCCTCCAGAAGCGGTGAATGCGCCAACACTGGAAGTTTTTAAGAAGAAACTGGACAGCCATTTGTCCGAAATGATATAGGGTTTCCTGCCTGAGCAGGGGATTGGACTAGATGACCTCCAAGGTCCCTTCCAACAACATCATCATCATCATCATCATCATCATCATCATCATTATTATTATTGCCTAATTTTAAACACCTTACCTTGTCCAAGTCTTGCACCCAAGATAGCCTCCTTGGCGGTTCCGAAGCCCAATTCTCGGCAGGCCACGCTGGCGTGACGTAAGTCCCACCCGTCATCACAAATGGTTCCCCACTCCCCATTCATCAACACTTCAAGGCGGCCTTCTCCAACCTGGGCTCCACCCTTTAGCCTCACCAGAAGGTGCTAAAAAAGAATGGGAAAATCTTTTGTCACTTAGGAACGTCATTGTCAGAGGCAATTTTTGCTTATTTGGTCGTCTGTCTTTAAGCCAACTCATCCACATCAATGCACCTTCTGGCACAAATCACAGATAGCATAAAGACAGAACTTGACTTACGGTCATAAGTGGGACCAGAACCTCCATCACTAAGCAGTGCAGACATTAAGTGATTTCACACCCGATTTTTCACATTTTTTTGCCATGAATTGCCTTGCCTTGTCTTATCACAAACCTGAATACTTTGTTAGATCCACCAACACAAGCATCAGAGCTGGAATCTCAAGACCTTATTAATAGCAAGAATAACAGTCTCCAGGTAAAGAATTGTATTTATATTTATATATAATAAGAATCAGCTTATACAGAATAAGAATCAGGATCTAATATAATGTCTTAGTCTGGAATCTTTCAGTTGGTTCATAATTCCAGATCCAGCCAACCTAAATGGTACCGTTAAGTCTATGCTGTGATCACTATTTTGGTTACCAACTTAAGAAATCATATGTGGCAATTTTCAGCTTTTTAAATATGAGTGAAGATCTGCCAAAAATGGTGCTAACTCAGAAATAGTTGGCAGCATCAACTATCCATTCTATATTAAAAACAAATAAGTCTTACTCATCTTTCTTTTGCTGTCAGAGTGTGCTAATAAGCTACAAATCCACCCTTACATAAAGTTCAGGAATTCTAATGCACAACCGTCCACATTATCATTTACATAATAGGAAAGTTGTCTCTTTGGAAGAACACAAAGCAACAGTCAGTTGGCGTGAACAAAAGAATTTGGAACAAGAATTAGGCGACATTTTGCCAAGTGCTTCACCCCTTCCAGCGATAAATGAAGTTTGTGCAGTTCTGAAACGTTCTGAGTTAAAGCAGGGGAAAATTATAAATAAGGCTCTGCAGAATATAATTCTTAGCATTTTCCAGGTAAACACGAGCAACCGAGCAACTGTGCTTGAAAAATAAATGCAATGTTTTAAACATGATGGCAGTGCCTTGAAAATATTGTTAGTGTTCCTTGAGGAGCAGCAGGAAATATACATGTACGCCTTGGAATGTTGAACTTTGGAAAATTAGAATCTGCAGCGGAGAGAGTGTTTGGGGCACTATAAATTATTTGGAATTGGGAGAAAAGCTTGGTTATGACTGGTTCTAAAATGTATCCTATACCCTTCACAATGTTTTTTTTTTTAATGTGGTAATCTTATTTAAGAATTGCATACTGTACAAGGCATAGTCAAAAAGAAGAGAAGGTCAAAGAAGGAGGAGGAGGAGAGGAGGAGGAGGAGGAGGAGGAAGAAGAAGAAGAAGAAGAAGAAGAAGAAGAAGAAGAAGAAGAAGAAGAAGAAGAAGAAGAAGAAGAAGAAGAAGAAGAAGAAGAAGAAGAAGAAGAAGAAGAAGAAGAAGATGATCACTTTATTGGTATGCATCACAAAGTATTGTGAATAGCTATTAATATTTTCATAAAAAGGCATTATGCAAATAAGCATGTGGCACAGAATGGGAAAAGTGTGTGGGGAAGAAGAAGAAGGAGAAGGAGAAGAAGAAGATCATCACTTTATTGGTATACATCACAAAGTATTGTGAAGAATACTATCTTGTACAAACTTAATGTGTGCCTTATCCCATCACTGGATTCTAGCCAGTTATGTTCACAGTTCTGTAAGTAATGGCCATATATGGACAAAGAATTCATGATTAGCTAGAATATTTTATCCCAATAGAATTTGGTCCCTGACTGAGCAGATTTTGAAGCTAAGGAGTAGCTGAGTAAACTTACTCAGGCTATACTGAGACTACGCAGTGTCTAGCAGATCTGACATTTTTCCCTCAGATTATTTGAAAGGAATAGGTTTGTGATTTCAATACAAACAAATCCAATTCACAGCTAGCAATATACTCCATGCCAAATTCAACTTCCTTGTAAAACCAAGGAGAATTTCTTCCACTCACCTGAGCACGGAAAGCTTTGCCGAAGCCACTGTGGCTGCCAGGGGAAAAAGCTAGTCCAGGGCTACAGCTTACCACCGCAGGGATCCCATTCTCACAGGTAACGTTCCCGCCAAGTGTCATGATCCGATCACCCATTTTGCAACTAAAGAGATGTGATTCGGTGCCTTTGCAATTCACAGAATAAGCCCAGTATTTATGCTTCCTTCTGCTTGCTGATGTCCTGGAAGAGAAGGAAGAGTACCGCAATGGTTAAGAACTGACTGCTAAGATAAGAACGGAGAAGATCTGTCACTGACCGGAAGCATGGAGGCCAGGACATCTTCGCGTCCAGGCCAGATGAGTTCACACAACCAGGCAGGCAAGCATAATAGGGTCTACAACAACTCACCCTGGCCACCTCGCCATGGAACAACTTACCACAGGACAAGGGTTACCCTAATATCGAAGAAATAGTGGAACAGAATCATTATACAAAATGTGAAGGACAAAAATTAAAATAATTTTTTACAATATTTTAAATCATTACGTCGAATTGTTGAATTGTCCCTCAGCAAGTTGGCTGCAGCGAATTGGCGGTGACAAGTTCACCCTGGCAAGCGATATCACTTGCTCCCCGACACCAGAATCTGGTTCTGGAGATGTGTTTTAAATTCCCCTAAGTCTTAAGATATTTATTTGGTCCCTAGTTCCTTTCCCCGGAAAAGCAAAATGCAGAAAAGAATTAAGAGGTTGAATGTTTTTGCCCTCACATTCTGGGGCGGTTTACCGTAGATGCTGGTGAACTATACTTTTTACAATCTGGGTTAAACCAACCGAGCTGTACAGCAAAGATAGTTACTCGATGTACATTATGGCTAGACAGAAATTTCATACAGGTACTCCTTGACGTACGTCCACAATTAAGCCCAAAATTTATGTTGTTACGTGAGACTGCTGTTAAATGAATTTTGCTCCATTTTACAACCTTTCTTGCCACAGTTGTTAAGTGGATCACTGCGGTTGTTAAGTCAGAAACACAGTTGTTAAGTGAATCCAGCTTCCCCATTGACTTTGCTTGTCAGAAAGTCCCAAAAGGGGATCACATGGTTTCAGGACACTGCAACCGTCATAAGTACATGTCAGTTGCCCAGTATCTGAATTTTGATCATTTAATTATGGGGATGCTGCCATGGGCATAAGTGTGAAAAACGGTCATAAGTCACTTTTTTTTCAGGGGTGTTGTAACTTGGAACGGTCACTAAACAAGCTGTTGTAAATTGAGGACTACCTTCCCTATTCCTCCTCTAGGATTAACCAATGAACCACAGCGTCTATTTTGATGGGAGAAAAACAATCAGTTGAGGAAGAATCCCTTTGGTTTATCTGCTAGTTGGGAACAGAACCTTGTATGGCCTCACTGCTGAAGCCCTCAAGGATTAGGTTCAAGGGGTGAAGATAAAGAGGTTGTGACACCTTATGGATAATTTAGGCAATCATTTCCTTCCACAGCTTCCGAGTCCTTCAGATAAGACTAGAAGAAAAGAGAGACACCAACTTCGCTTTTCCACTAGTCTGGGAAAACACAAGCCAGATCTCCAAATATGTCGTCTGGAAGAGAAACCCAGTAAAAAACTGTCAACAACTTTGGGAGGCTCAAAAGATTAATAGGAACCATTTGAAAGGAACACAGGCGCTCTGCCCACAATATCTGTGGCAATCTTTCACACAATTCCTGGATACGAGAGAGGGGAATAAATCACGTTGGATTACCATTTGTCAAAACCAACAACTGTTTTGTTAGGGAAGGAAATAAGATGGCCTTAATTTAGAACCTGTGCATAAAATCCACTTTGGTGATTTTGAAATTACCCCAAGAATTAAATATGGCATCAATATTATAAGTTGGCAGACTTAGAGGTAGGGCGAGCATCACCAATGATTACTAACGCTACCTTTGTTGTAAGGTTACATTAACAGGCTCTTGCAAATCTAAAAAATACATCTCTCTTCCCTCGACTTTACGGTCCAAGGAACTTGGGAGGGTCTTTCTGAGACATAGAATAGAATAGAATAGAATAGAATAGAATAGAATAGAATAAAATAGAATAGAATAGAATAGAATAGAGCTGGAAGGGACCTTGGAGGTCTTCTAGTCCAGCCCCCCGCTTAAGCAGGAGAACCTACACCATCTCAGACAGGTGATTGTTACTCTAGTCTCTTCTTAAAGATCTCCAATGATGGGGTGCCCACGTTTTCTGGGGGCAAGCTGTTCCACTGGTTGATTGTCCTCACTGTCAGGAAGTTTCTCCTTAAATCCAGGTTGCTTCTCTCCTTGATCAGTTTCCAACCATTGTTTCTTGTCCTTCCCTCTGGTGCTCTGGTGAACCACCTGGCCCCCTCTGCCTTGTGGCAGCCCCTCAAATACTGAAACACTGCTATCATGTCTCCCCTATAGTCCCGCAGCTGTTCTTCATATCTTTTAGCCTCCAGGCCTTTGATCATCTTATATATGCTAGACCCCTAGCTTAGCTGGCTCTTATCTGTCCATTGCCTAGACTTCTGCTCCTTCTCCTAATCCAGTCTCTCCAGGCCATTCTCACAGACCATCAACAAGTTGAGCATTCTTGACTCATAGGGAGCATTTTAGTAAAGTCTTATTGCAGAATAAAGAATAAATCAGAGAACTTAAATCAGAAATATATGAAAAAATTTTAAATGTTTAAAAACATTGTATATCAGTTGGAATACCTCAAAGGGAACTTGGAAACTAACTACTTAAAGTTTTAGTAATTTCCCTTTTTTTAAATTGATATTTCTAAATAACAAAATAGTGGACTTTGGCGCTCAGCTTGAAGATTCAAAGAGTCCTAAAATCCTTTTCCAAAACCACCAAGTATTTTGTTTTTAGAGTTAATTTTCATCAAGATTATGCTGAACGTTAACTGTACGCCTTCTATAAATTCTTTGTCCGTATTAAATGATTTATAACATTTATTTTTAAAAAAATGATTAAAAAGCAATACAAAATGCGGTTTAGGGGTTATGAAAGTTAAGGAAATTTCTAAATTAGTTCAGTTGTGTCATGCTAAAAAAAATCCCTATCCAATTTCAGGTTGTAAGTTAGTCAATCTTTTTTTTTGTCCAAGCTTGTAAATAATATTGGCGTTCAACTATACCTATGAGTGAAACACACAAACTCCTTCTAATTTAGATACTTAATATTGGCTCACAGGTAGTCAAGTAGCTATGACAGAGCCAAAACTTTTAGATCAGAAATAGAATGCTTCTGAATATCAGAGAGAGAGAGAAAATATGCTTTCTCACAATGTGCTAAGATATTGCACGATTTGCTTGGTTTTCATTTAATATCGTGTGCAAACACTACTGTGTTTTAAACCAAGTTCTAATTAAGCGTAATGTGTATGGAGTCAGTCAACATGGCGGCATTTCCCCCCAAACCGGCCATCCCAACTGGAAATCTGAGGAAATGCAACTCCCAAATATCAGAAGACTAAAAGAGAATAAATACTCTGGGGAAAAATGCTCAGAAAAATATTACATTCTCGACCAACCAGACCCCTTTTTTTTACTTCCTGGGATGACAGAAGCCACGGCCTTTTTGCAGGGCTGTTATAACTTCGAACAGTCACTAAGCAAACGGTTGTAAGTCAAGGACTAAGGGTACTTGACCACCAGCAATTCAGAGCTGGTGGCATTAATGGACCTAAGTCTATTCAGCAAGACCTTTTCTGCATCGTTGACTGAGCTCAAGAAAACAGCAGAAAAGCAAACGGACAGATTTTCCAACTTGATTCCCCCCCCCCTTTAACATACATCGTCCTGCAAGCAGAAATTAAACGACATTCCAAACAGCAAGTTTGGCAGCCAGGATTGGGATGAAGGAAGCTGTTTGCTTTAGCAAAAGGTCCCATCTGTGAATCATTTCTCCCTCCCCCAACACCAGGCTGCTCGGCTTCACATGGGTTACCTCAGCACCTAAATGCTGTGGTCAGATTTAAAAAGAAATGAAAACGCTCAGCTTGGCAGGCGAATCTGCCCTTTTTTTCATAGACCGCCTACAGAAGCACGAAGCCAGCTTATTGGAAGAGAGCCTCAACTGCAGACTGGCTCCCCAGCTGCAGAACCACAAGGGCAGTGGAAGATCCCACTCCGTGGACAGAGCAATTTATGACGGCACGGGGTAGAAGGAGACCAGAGGGATGAGAAAACAGATGGACAGGGCCTCTGGAGTCACGTGTAAAAAGAACTGGATCCAAGTGACTGGAGAAGACATGAATGGAAGCTTTCCTTCCCTTGACTATACAAGTAGTCCTTGAGTTATAACCACAATTATACCCAAAGTTTCTGTTGGTAAGTGAGACATTTGTTAAATGAATCGCCGCAACTAATCAAGGAGAGAACCAACCTAGAACTGAGGAGAAATTTCCTGACAGTGAGAACAATTTAATCAGTGGAACGACCTGCCTCCAGAAGTTGTGAATGCTCCAAGACTGGACGTTTTTAGGGGTTCCTGCCTGAGCAGGGGGGGTTGGACTAGAAGTCCTCCAAGGCCCCTTCCAACTCTTTTATTCTATGATTCTGAATTTTACCCCATTTTATAACCTTCCTTGCCGGAGATGCGAAGTGAACCACAGCAATTGTGACACAGTTGTTAATGTGAATCACTGCAGTGGTTAAGTTAGACACACGGTTGTTAAGTGAAATCTGGCTTCCCCGTTGATCTTGCTTGTCAGAAGGTTGCAAAAGGGGATCACTGCAACTGCAACTGTCATAAATATGTGCCAGTTGCCAAGCTTCTGAATTTTGCTCATGTGACCATGGGGATGCCACAACGGTCATTAAGTCTGGAAAAAAGATGATAAGTTACTTTTTTCAATGCTCTCTTAACTTCCAACAGTCATTAAATGAACTGTGTAAGTCAAGGACTACCTGCATGCAAATCCACAACAGCAGGTTTCTAAAAGAAGCAAGGGGGATGCTACTGGCTGACTTGCAACAGTGAGAAGTTCATACATTCCTTTGCTGGGTTTTCAAGCTGAGTAGCTTTGGGTCAGCTGCTAAGGATGGTCAGGAAAGGGGTAAATGGTTGCTTGTCCTTCTTTGCTTCTAATGAAGGCCCCTTTTGCTCTCTCCTGCAGCGTGCAATTGGAAAACTACAGAAGATTTAGTCCACATTGCAGTTGTTTGTCCATCGATTTCGATAAAGAGGACACAAGGCATGCGTGTTTACAGGAGCTGATGATAATTAAGCAAACTTGGCTGATTCCAAATGTCTAAACATTGTCAAGTCAGGAAACCTTACAGCTGTAGCACAGCCTGGAGAATAAAAATAGGTTGGAAAATGGAAATGGCAAACCAGGTCATCATGAAGCGAAGAAAACTTCAGAGCATGTTCATGAGGTCACCCGACGTCAACCTATTTAAGGACGTTTTGGCCTTAACTTTCATGGGAGTGAATGAAAAGATTAGTGCATACCCCTGGGATTATACCATACAGGTAGTCCTCGATTTACAACAGTTCGTTGAGCGACTGTTCACAATTACAACGGCACTGAAAAAAGTGACTTAATTGTTTTTCACACTTACGACCGATGCAGCATCCCCACGGTCACGTGATCAAAATTCAGATCATCATTGGTGATGATCATTTACTTTTAAGCAACTGCTTCTCCTTCTGAGCTTCTCTGGGAATTTGTTGGGCTGAAGAAAAGGAGACCAATGAGTCACACTGAACAGGACATTTTCCTACTTTCAGCTGACTGATGTGACCCCACTGAAGAGAGGAAAGACTGAGTCACCAAGCCCGAAGCCCATTCCCTCAGGACAGGCAGTTGTGATTCAACTTACAGAGC